AAATTAGGGACGGCTAGCGCAGATAGCCCTCGTGTAGCTTTGCGCGAAATTCAAAACAAACAAACAATCGTTGTTCCGATTTTATATGTCAACGAATTTGAGTGTTTTTCGTACATAAATCAGGAAAACCGAAGAGAAATGATAGTCAGTCACAAAGCAGGGGTGGTAAACTTGAATATTGTATTGTTAATTCTTGCTATTTCGTGTAAAGCTCTGAAGTATGCTAATTGGTATTGAAGTAGCGATAAATGCTTGTAATATTCTGTAAAATAAAACATATTTATTGTATTAAGATATAACGTAACAGAAGAGGTCTAGTGTTTTACTACACTTCTCCAAGTTTTAGTAAATAAATATCTTTATAAGTTTGTAATAGACTCGAAATATAAACACAATTGAGTAGATGTCGAAATTAGTTTAATACAACTGGGATGATGAATGTTGCACGTGCTTTATCTAAAAGCTCAAAGTTCTCAAGCAATACGATGTTGGCGAATAAAACTAATTACTTGAAAAGTTAAACAGCACAATGTACTTAACATCAATTATTCGTAAATCACGAAGTTTCTAGTTTAAGTGTTGAGTTATCAAGTGTTGTTTGAATTTGTCTTAACAAAGTTTTAACGTCTATAAAATCGCAAAGTAAATGTTACTTGGGAACCTTGTTTTATTTCGAGACATTTCCACTAGGTGGCGCTCTGAGTTTTTATGCCGCTTCTCAGTTTCCTCGTAATTCAAAGTCTGGAATAAAAACGAAAGAGAAACGTCTTAAAATCGCTAACATGTGAGACCTAAAAGTATAAACCACAATGTATAATATAATATGAAGATTTTACTGTATGACTAACACGACTTGAGAAAATGTAATAAAAAACTAAGACATATCCCAATAAAAGAGTTACCTAGTGGTTAATATCTGAAATACAAAATTGGACTTATTAACGAAATTAATACATATATATAACATTATATTACAAAACGGCTTGTGAAAGACAAAGAGCGCAGGCGCCAAAAGATGTCTGGTTAAGCTGAAGATTCATATAGATTTGTTAACCAGGCTTAACGTTTACAAATCGCTTGCTTCGTTATGTTAATATAAGTACTTCTAATTTTGTATTATTAATATATACATCTTGTAGCAAATTTTGACTGGTTAAAAGTAGAAAATTTAATAAAGAAATATAATATGTTTTCAAGATTCATCTTTTAAAGTATTCACTGTGGAGTAATATTAAATTATATTTATCATATAAAAAACTTTCAAATCGGCTTTATATATGGAATATGTTTGTTAATATAAATTAGTGATATTTTGTTTAGTGCAAGTTAGTTTTTGAATTGGTTATTATCAAAAGTTTTTTAGTTTGATTTTGTTGATTTGTTTTTAGAGTACATATAAAGACAACTCAGTTTAGTCAAACCATAAGTGCTCTTCTATTAAATCGTGATTGTTTGATAATAATGAAAATTTATAAATCCGTTGAAATAACAAAATAACTGGAAGTCTAGGTTAAAGTTTGGCCCGAGGTTTAAACATTTTCCGTAATATTTGTAGGAGTTTGAACGACAATAACATTTCTCATTTATGAACAACTTTGTAACATCAATTTTTTGTGCAATTGGAATTTTTAACCTGAACGGATTTTTTTTTTTTTGCACGTTGTTCAGTTCAGATACCCCTAAGATTTAGGTATATTCGTACCTAATTTTAAGCTCCTCCGGTGGCTCAGCGGTAAGTTTGAAGGCTTATAAGATAAAATTTGGGTTTCGATTCCCGTGGTGGATACAGCACAGATAGACCATTGTACGACTTTGTGTTCTTAAACCTTAGAGTTCTGACCTTTTTAGCCCATGGATCGCATTTGCTGTTCAGGTTGAAAATTCCAATGACCAGGTCTCAATCAAAACATAAATTTAAAATATATGTTACATTCAAATCTCGTTGTATTTTCTCAATATACCAAAGTAAAATATATTGATTTGTGTAATTAAAAAAAAGAATTAAAATACAGAAACCTTGGATCCTCAGTTTAGCACACTAACTATTGGGCCGCGCTAGGTCTAAAATAAGGAAATTATATTAGATATATATTGACTCCTTTTTGGGTGATGTATTCGTGAAAGTCACAGATACAAGAATAAAGTGACGTGGTGGGGAGTTCATATGTTATTTCAAATAAGTAAAAAAATTGGAGAAAAAAAGATGTGTTAAAATCAAGTTGTTTTAAGTTTCACAAGCTTGGCATTACATTAAAAATATTATCCTGTGTTTTTTCTCTTTAAGTCTAATATTACTTATGTATTGAATGACTGAGTTAGATAATATTTGAAATATTAAATTAATAGAACTCAAGGCTATAAACATATTGTCATTTTATTCTAATAAGATTTCTTGGATCCAAGAAATTATAATTCAAATAATAAAAAGGAATCTTTTAATAGTTTCTAAAAGTAAGTTGTATTTCATTTTACGTAACAACTTCACACATAATCGTGAGCTTACTGTTAAAAACAGTTTCAAAACACAAAATTGATCAGTGACTAGTACATATAACTACAATGTAACAACTATCAATTCTCCATCATGGATGTTCCAGCAATAACCCAGTTGAACCCTTGCATCAATTCTCCATCATGGATGTTCCAGCAATAACCCAGTTGAACCCTTGCATCAATTCTCCATCATGGATGTTCCAGCAATAACCCAGTTGAACCCTTGTGTCAATTCTCCATCATGGATGTTCCAGCAATAACCCAGTTGAACCCTTGTGTCAATTCTCCATCATGGAGGTTCCAGCAATAACCCAGTTGAACCCTTACATCAATTCTACATCATGGATGTTCCAGCAATAACCCAGTTGAACCCTTACATCAATTCTCCATCATGGATGTTCCAGCAATAACCCAGTTGAATCCTTGTGTCAATTCTCCATCATGGATGTTCCAGCAATAACCCAGTTGAACCCTTACATCAATTCTCCATCATGGATGTTCCAGCAATAACCAAATCGAACTCTTACATCAATTCTTGACCATGGATGTTCCAGCAATAACTCAGTGGAACCCTTATATCAGTCCAGGTTGTATCACGTGTTGGTAAATTCGCCCTACGATTATCAAATAAAGTCCCACATTGACCTAACCGAACCCTTTCCTTACTCATTCTCTCCCATGGGCGATTTAAATCTAATGACTATTAAACAAAATACCTCATTGACCTTTTCCAAATCTTGGCAAGCTAAATCTTTCTTTTACTAAGCCAAATCCTTGTCCCGCTTGGCACTTCACACAGGTAAATAAAAACATCCGACATGCAAGCTAAATCATTATGTTATCAAGCAAACTTTTATCCCTACCGATGCTTTCCACAGGTAGACAGAATCGTCTGACTTATCAAGCTAAATCATTATGTTACCAAGCCAAACCTTTATCCCGACCGATGCTTTCCACAGGTAGATAAAATCGTCTGATTTAGCAAGCTAAATCCTTCCATCACCAAGCCAAACCGTTATCCTAACTGGTGCTTTCCACAGGTAGATAAAATCGTCTGATTTAGCAAGTTAAATCCTTCCGTCACCAATACAAACCGTTATCCCGACTGGTGCGTTCTACAGGTACATAGAATCGTAATAAATCAGATTTTGGAAGAAAACGTGCACGGTGTTTCTAATGTATATTTCTTCTCATACTGCATACTCTATTAAGCTGCAGGCAGCCGTAAACTGAACAGGACGATAATGTCTGCATAACTTACTGATGTTTTGATCATTAATTTCTGGTAAGAAAAACTGGACATTTACTTACTAATATTTATCTTGATATGCGGTTGAAATTTGTAAGGACGATCTAAGAAGGAATGTAGATTGAGTACACGACAGTTTTTGCAATGGAAAAAAACAACAACAACATTCTATTGTTCCTAAGAAATGAAATGATTCCTCGTCAAGCCATTTTTCTAAATATTCTTGATCAGCTCTTAATTTCAATGTGTCAAATACAGGCAGGAATTATTATAAAATATGCTAGATTATTTATAAATAGTTTCAACGTTCTGGTGGTATTCAGGAAATTAATTAAAGTCGTAACACCGCTGCATAGATAATATTGAAGGAATTCGTGGTTTGAATAACCTCAGACACAAATAGTTATCACATAAATGATCAATCAAGTGTCCTATTTGAATATGATTCCAATCACGCTGTGTTAACACATCGTAGTTACATAATGGTTGGAGATGGTCACATATATGATCAATCAAGTGTCCTATTTGAATATGATTCAAATCACGCTGTATTAACACATCGTACTTACATAATGGTTGGAGACGGCTTAAATGGGTAATGAAGAAAAACTTTAATATAAGTTTAACACAACAGCAAATGTACAACGTTTCGACAAGGTTTTGTCATCATCATTACTCATTCAAGCCGTCTCCAGCCATTATTAGTCTCAAAGAGGGTTCCTCGTCATCGAACATCGTACTTACCTTGAACAATGACCTTGTTTCTATAGGTCAAGTTCAGCCCATTTTTTATGTGTAATGTCAATGTTTTCCAAACTTGTACACCTTTTAAGTACTGTTTAGAATATGAAATGTTATGTAGAATGCTGTCTAACTTATCAAATTTTGTGTAGAATACCGTCTAACTTATCAAATGTTGTGTAGAATACCGTCTAACTTATCAAATGTTGTGTAGAATACCGTCTAACTTATCAAATGTTGTGTAGAATGCCGTCTAACTTATCAAATGTTCTATAGAGTACCGTTTAGAATATGAAATGTTGTGTAGAATACCGTCTAACTTATCAAATGTTGTGTAGAATGCCGTCTAACTTATCAAATGTTGTGTAGAATACCGTCTAACTTATCAAATGTTGTGTAGAATGCCGTCTAACTTATCAAATGTTGTGTAGAATACTGTCTAACTTATCAAATGTTGTGTAGAATACCGTCTAACTTATCAAATGTTGTGTAGAATGCCGTCTAACTTATCAAATGTTGTGTAGAATACTGTCTAACTTATCAAATGTTGTGTAGAATACCGTCTAACTTATCAAATGTTGTGTAGAATGCCGTCTAACTTATCAAATGTTGTGTAGAATACCGTCTAACTTATCAAATGTTGTGTAGAATACCGTCTAACTTATCAAATGTTGTGTAGAATACTGTCTAACTTATCAAATGTTGTGTAGAATACCGTCTAACTTATCAAATGTTGTGTAGAATGCCGTCTAACTTATCAAATGTTGTGTAGAATACCGTCTAACTTATCAAATGTTGTGTAGAATGCCGTCTAACTTATCAAATGTTGTGTAGAATACCGTCTAACTTATCAAATGTTGTGTAGAATACTGTCTAACTTATCAAATGTTGTGTAGAATACCGTCTAACTTATCAAATGTTCTATAGAGTACCGTTTAGAATAAAAAATGTTGTGTAGAATGCCGTTTAAGCTATAAAATGTTTTATATATAATACTGTTCAGATTATCAAATTTTGTGTTGAATACCTTTTGAATTATTAAACGTTGAGTAAAATACCGTTTAGAATATAATATGTTATGTAGAATACCGTTTAGAATATAATATGTTATGTAGAATACCGTTTAGAATATAATATGTTATGTAGAATACCGTTTAGAATATAATATGTTATGTT